TCCTAGCTTAGAGATCGCAAGCGCGACGCGCTTGTCTTCGATTATATTTAAAGTGGAATCCATGGTCACCTCAAATTTTACAATTCAGAAGGAGAATCTCGGGCTGCAAGGGCCGGGTACTTCAACGTCAACATCATCACGGTGGGTACCATCTGTTCCTTCATCAATGCCCAATTGGGGCGCTTTTGGACGTACCTATCAAGTGTATTCTCAATGCTGGTGAGCGCCCCGGGGGGGCATTATCGCTTTCGAGGCTTTGTCCGCTCACTTTATCAACCAAGTTGGACAAAAGATTGTTAAGCTGGTCAATTTTTCTGGGGGATTGGCAATCAAACATTTCATATTCCATTATCTCTGACGAACAGTCTTACCACAACTCGGTCGTGGAATTGGCTGCTAGTACTGCCAGGAGTGACGCGGCTGCCGTGCACGTCGCTTTGACTGTCAAAGTCCACGTTAACAAACGCATTTCCTGTGCTCTTACCAGGAGCGGATCCGAGAACCTCTAGGGATAACTAACACTGGTGGTTTGCTATGCAATTTCAATATTTCACAAACTGCAAAATCGATATGTACGTTCAGTAAACTTCGTAACAAATTTCTAACGTGCGGCTAAACTTTTTCTCATCGAAATGTTACTATCTTCATAATTGCCGATATGTTAATCTTAAAATATCCCCTTTCACACCTAGTGTAATAATAATAATGTAATGTAGCACTTGTAATTTGCAGAAATTCACCGTGCAGCAAGACTTTGTAGCACTTCCTCAGTAAGTCTCTTTCAGGGGCTTCACTAGCGTTATGCATGACACGGAGTTGCCCCAATTGATTGATTTTTTTGCTAAATGCCTCGAGCAAACCTTAGAAGGCGAAACTGGCTATGATCCAATTTTTTTAAAGTAATGCAGAAAAAGGAGTTTGTAGATCGCGGTCATCAGAGTGCATCCTCGTTGAGACGAGATAGGCCAACTGCATGTCAAGGTCTTCAGAGTGTATTGATAGTGGGACGGTAAAAGAAAAGCTGTGCTGTGCTAGAACCGGTAGAGAGAGGAGGCGACTAAGTATCGCAATGACCCATGCCAGAGCCGGCTGAGTTAGATTCCGACAGTAAGTCGCAGGTTGATGGGCTAGTCTTTGAAGATAAACGCATTGTTCATTCTTGTTACGACGTAGCGGTACTGGCGAGTAAATATTTCCGTATGACGGGCCCATTCTGCGGAGCAGTGAAGCTTCTTGTGTAAGTGGTACAAAAATGTATTCTCTCGTGAATGAAATAGCTGGGGTGCTTAG